TATCAACTTCATCGCCCCCGCGGCGAGTGAACTTCAAGCCTCGCTCGAAGAAGCTGTCCTGTTCGACCGCCACTCGGGCCAAAAAAAACCAACCTGGCCAGAGGGCTTCGCCGCCAGGTGGAAGCTCTCGACCCTCGCGGCCAGCCTCTCAAAGCTCGGCGCCGCGTTGAACTGGCCGGGAGTTGCGTCGGCGTCGCTCCAGCTGCGGAAGGCCCCGACCTCGGCCTCCCTGCCGCCGCCGATGCCCGGGGCGCCCTTCGAAAACGCCTGCGGGAGAGCCCGCTCCGTTAAGCCCCTGGCGGCAAGCGCGGGCGCCGCTGGCGCCGGCGCCCGAGTGCCCGGCGCCGCAACTCGAAATCTCTGCCACGGCGCGCCGTTTGCTGCCGTTCGCCCCAAAAGGCGGCTGCGGACATCTCAGCGGGCCGCGCGCGCCCTCGTCATTGCAGGCCGCGCCTTAGAACTCGACGCCGTCGCGCAACGCGAGGCCCCCCTCGGCGCGCGCGCGCCGGCACGGCGGCGCGCATGTCTCAACGCTGAAGCCGAAAGTGTCCGCGAAAACGCGCGAACTGGGCAAAGTTTGGCATGCCATCGCCGAACTGGAATGGAGCTGGCCGGCCTGCCGCGCGAAGCGCGACGACTGGGGCGCGCGCCTTTCGATCGGGGTGCTCGCGCGCGCGCGGCGAGCATCGCGGAGACGCGCCTGCCTCCGACGAGCCCCCGCTGCCAGGCGCGACCTCGGCGCGGTGGCGGGCGCCGCGCAAGGGGGGCCTCGGCTACTTCGCCGATGTCTGGCCCCAGAAGACCGCGGGCAAAGCTCAGTGCGCGGCGTGGCACCTTGGTCCTCTATGTAACTACATCCGCTGAGGTGACCGCGCGCAGCAGGGAAAAGCGAGGGCGGGCATCTCGACCGACCCGTTCCCGCCGCGCCATCGGCGCAACCGAGACGACGAGGCGCAGGAGCGCGCCATTTGGAGATGTCCGCGCTGGGCCAACGAACGAAAATACCTGACCGCCACGATCTCGGACAAAAAAAAACATCGGAGAAACCTCCCACCACGCACCTGGCACAGTGGGCCCCTTGACGGGAACGCTGAGCTCCTCGATCTGCAGGCTGGCTTCCCACGAGACGACCGCTCGCAACCCATCCCCAAACCGACGCCTGAAGGTCGGGATGAGGACCACTTTGAGGCGTGCACAGACCCCGCCATGGGAACTGGGTGGGTCTGGGCAGCCACTAACGGATCGTGCTCGCATCAATCAAACACTTGCTCGCCAAGGCTAGGTTCGGCGCGTGCTACGTGACAGAGCACCGGCCAAACCACGCCGCCCGAATCCATTGTCTGGTACAGTCAGCACAACGCGCTGAAACCGTGGCGCCCCCCCCCCCTCGCCGCCGCGGCTGAGAGACCCGTCCGCGTCTTCGTCGACAACGAAGGCGTCGTCGATGGGTTCGAAACTCTCCTCGAAGGACCCCCCATCGAGCCAAGAGCTCCAAAGCCGACCTCTGGCAACGAATCGACCGGGTGGTCCACGCCAAACCCGACATGATCAATGCCCCAACAATCGGAAGTTATCTCGGAGGACAAAACATCAACGACTGACGAATGTCACGGATAGCCGAAGCCTTCAACCGTCACGCCGACGAGCTGGTTACTGCGGGAGCCCGCATGCACGCCATACCACAAAACGCCATCTACGCAGCTAAGTGGAGGCACGCATTCGCGGCTGTCCGTCACAGCATTGCGGTCGACATGTGCGGCCTCCACCACTACATTCTCCCGCTCCCCGATAAACGGGCGTGATATTCCAGGTCAAGAATCCGCCGGATGAATCCAACCCGTGCACCGCGGGGGCGGCGGGGATGAGCTACCAGGCCCACCCGGCGATCCCACCCAATTCCAAAGCGCACAGTAGCCAGCGTATTGCTATGAACTCGATGACCGATGGGACATTTCTTCTGGGAACCCTGAAGGAAACGAGGAGGATCCACTCGGTCTGGGGAGGGCCCTCAACAAACCAAGCTGCCAAGACAGCAATGGCCACGACGCGGATGACGACAGTCCACCCCCATGCCCAAGCAGGCACGCGACGGCAAAGACCCACGCGGTGGAGGTCCACCAGGACGCAAGCAACCCACTACAACATATGCGACCTTGACATCGACCACACGCGAGACTGTACAGACTGTGCCGTCCCCCGACGCACACAGCCACGCCCCAGGCCAGATGTACGCCGGCAGCGCCATCCACCTGGGAAAGGATATGCGTTTGGTCGGCGAAGGGTCGCGGACTGCGCCCAATGGGCCAGTGCCGCCGCCCCAACCCGCTAGGCTGGCCACTGCTGCGGCACCCCCCCCACCCCCACGCGCACGCAGCGCTTTCTGCCACCAGGCATACCTCCCGACCCACCAGGGAACAGGGACCAATAGCTCTCGCAACACCCACCAACGCGGAGGCGTCCGTCCGACCCGACCCCAGCGCAAAGCACCGACCGGAGGAGCAGCCTCACACAGCGCCTCGCTTCAGACAGATCACAGCCACCACAGGACCGCGAAGCCGCGCTCACCGCCAGTACCACGGCGCTTCAGCAACGTGCCTCCGGCCTCGCATTCACGCTAAATTGCATTCAGGAACGGTCCATGCCCCTGGTCGATAGTTCCAAAGAGCACAGTCCGCATGGACTGACCTTCAACACGCCTTCCACCCGCCTGCCTTTCCTGGGGCCGCTCTCCAGGAACGCCTCCAGGCGCGACTTGGCTGCTCACCGCTAGCGCACCAGTGCTGGCCACCACCTTCCTTTCGCACTATGCGCCTTGCGAGAGCTCCTGGCAACCAGCTCCGTTGTCCCGGCAACGAGGGCCGCTGAGGGCGGTGCCCCCAAGGCGGCGCCTTCGCTCCACAGGGCTCCGAAGCGCGCGTGCCAGAGCGTGCTTGCGGCCGGAGGCTCCTTGCAGCTTCGGGGGTGCAGGCGGGGTCCCCTTCCCAGCCGGGGTCCCCTTTTCGACTGCGCCAGGAGGGCGGCGTTCGCCGCCCCTGCCATCCACAAGCGGCACCTCCCGCCAGCGAGGTGCGGGCAGGAGGCGCTGGTGGCCTCCGCCCGCGGACGAACCCCTCGTCCGAATCGTTGCCCGCTCTTTTTTTTTGCTCTCTCTCTCTCTCTCCTTTTCTCCCCTCCCTCCTATTGCCATTACAGCCACTGTTGTTGCTGCTCTCTCCCCTCCTCTTCCCGCTCCTCCTGCTCCTCCGGCTCCTCCTTCTCCTCCTACTCCTCCTTCTCCTCCTCGTCGTTTTCCCTCTCCCCCTCTTGCTCACCGTCCATTTCCTCGGGTCCACTCTCCCATTCCCTACGCCTCCCCGGGCTGCCCTGCTGACCCCCCCCTGCGCAAATGCCCGAATGCACCAACGGAAAGACGGGGAGTCTCCTCGTCCTCCACCGACAGAAATTGACTTCTCCGAAAGCTCGAAAAGACAATTGCCCCAGAAACTAACAACATCGGCCCTCCTACTCACCGTGCTCCTCAAAGACCTGCTCCTCATCACCGTGTGTTGCGCCGAGCTCGGACACCCGAGAGGAGGTCAAGTCAGCGGCATGGCCGCGTCCACGACTTCTACAGTGCGACTCCCGGGCGGTCCGTGGCCTCAAGAGCATCTTGATTGAGCCCCTCTCCTGCGGTCGGGGACTTTGGCCTCAGCGTGTCGCGGCGAACGACTAGCGTGAGGCTCCGCTCCGCGGGGCGGGACGCTCGGGCACACCTCGGGACGCGAACGTTCGGGGACCAGGAAGCGTGCCGCGTGCCGCGCCGGAGCGTGGTGGGCCAGAGCCAGCGGGCCGGAGCCAGCGGGCGAGTCCCCGCTCGCAGCTCCGCCCCCGAACCCTTTCGGTCCCCATAGGGTCCAGTTCTCGGGGTTCCCACTCGGGCGCCCAAGCTGTTTTGGGATGTGGGGGGCTCACGGGAGCATGTCCAGTGCTTCTTTCCTCAGGCCGAAGGTGATATGAAACAAGGCACGCATCGCGACCATGCAGAAATGGCTAGGGTATCCGAAGGCGCGAGCTTTTGTTTGCCATCGCTTTTCTCTTGTCCTCCCGAGCTCCGAGGCCTCCGGGATGGCCCAAGAACCCCCCACTACGCGCAGAGAGCTCCGAAGACGACTCAAGAGGCCTCCAAGATGCCTGCAAGAAACCCTTGCGAGGCTTCCCAATCGCTCTGAAGAGGCCCCCAAAGAGGGCTCCACATCCACCCAAAGCCAGCAGGACTGCAGCATAGCCAGAAACACACTCTATGAAACCCTCAAGAGGGCATGCGAGAGCTGCCAACATGCCTCCGACAGGCCCCTGGAGAGCTTCCACATGCCCATGATGATTGTGCTACGCTACTTTCCTCCTCTACTTCTCCTGCTCATCTTCCTCTTGCTTCTCCCCCTGCCCAGCCAGAACTGACCACACGACAGCCCGCGACACCAATTTAGACACACATGAGCAGACAAGAACGGCCCATGCAAGGCCAGTCCAGGAGCAGTAGGTACAGACACCACGCTGAACATCCTCATTCTCACATGCCCCGCCTTCCTCTTCTGTCCTTTCTCCCTCGCCCTTTCCCTCCTCCATCCCCTCCTTCGCATCCGCACCGACCATCTCAATGGCGCAAGGCGACGGTTCCCAATGCAAGTACGCATTCTTTAGTGCGAACACTTTTGGAAACAAATCCACGAACTTCGAGCACGTATGCGAAATATTGGTAAGGTCACGAACATGCAGGTTCAAGCACTTCAACTCGCTCAGCGACAATCTGTCCAATGCTGTTGCGCATCATTTCAGCACTCGCTGGCACCAATGCTGAAGCTACGCAGCGCGGCTTCTGCCTTCCCTTCACACGTGCCACCCTTGCCCGCGCGTTCCACAAACCTTGGACCCAGCAGAGCTGCCGGCGGCTTCCAACTCCACGTGCACCTCCGACGATTCGCTCGACGACCGTCACGCCCACCGTTGCTGCCAGCCCCGCCTCATGCACAGATGGCAGCGCAGCAGCCGATACTGTCCGACCCCAGACTTGTGTCGCGCACCTGGCTCAGGAGCGTGAGCGCCTGGTGCAACCGACCTCCTTTCTCGCACGCAGTGATCCCGGCGCTGTAGCTATTGGCGTCTGGCTCCGCCATCCCGTCGCGGAGCCTGGTCAGCAACGCCAGAGACTGCCACCACTGCCCAGACTTCTGGCAAGCTCTCATTCCCGCGTTGACGCTCACGGTGTTCGGGCCCACGCTTGTGTCCCACATGTCGCTCAGCAAGGAGACCGCCATCTGCCACTGTCCCCCCTGCTCGCACGCAGAGACCGCGCCGCTGTAGCTGAAATCAGTCGGATCGCACCTGATTTGCCGCATCCTATACAGCAGAGACAATGCCCACTGCCACTGCCTACACTTTTCGCACGCATTGATCCCAGCGCTGTAGCAGACGTCGTCTGGATCCACCCTCACCGCTGTCATCTGGCTCAGTAGCGATAGTGCCCACTGCCACTGCCCACCCTTCTCGCATGCGCTGATGCAGGCACTGTAGCTGAATCGTGTGAACTCATCGACCAGAACCCACCCGCACCTAGAACTAGTAGAAGATCGATGCGTGCCCTCTGGCTTTTAGGAGGAGGAGGAGGAGGAGGAGGAGGAGGAGGAGGAGGAGGAGGAGGAGGAGGAGGAGGAAGAGGAGGAGGAGGAGGAGGAGGAGGAGGAGGAGGAGGAGGAGGAGGAGGCGGCGCCTCCTCTTCCTGCTCCTCGTCCTCTGGGCCGAAGGGCGAGAGCCGAAGGGCCGTGAAGGCTCAGGCGGGCGCGTGGACCGTCAGCAGGGCTACGCGACCGCCTGCCCAATGCCACCGCGCGCTCGGTGCCGCGCGTGGAAGCGGCAGGCACGGAACCGCTCGAGTGTGCCGGAACGCTGGTCGACGGCGCGCACGGAGAGGCTGGGCGAGGGCGGGGGGCCTCCCGGAAGGCAGGCGGCTTCTCACGCAGGGGCCCGGAGGCTTGCACGAAGGCCCCTCGAAAGGCAGCCGACTCCCGAGAGGCGCCCCGCCTTTGATGAGGCCGCCCCCCTCGCACCGCCCCCCCCCCCCGTAAGGTTGATAAAACCGTGTGTGTGTGTGTGTACCACCTCGGTTTTTGGTCTATTACTTCTGATGTGCTTGCTTTCCTGTTGATTATGCTTTTCGTCATCTCTAAAGGGATTGCTCAAAGTAGTGGAATTCAGAACGATTCGTGTTGTAGCACATTTAAAATTGAGTTCTTTTGTAAGGAATTACAAGGGAATTCTGTCCATGATGTATTACAAATTGTTTCCCTTTGTGGCGGATTACAAAAGGATTCCTTTTGTGGAGGATTACAAAAAGATCCCTTTTGTGGAGGATTACAAAGACATTCCCTTTGGTGGAGGAATACAAAGGGATTCCTTTTGTGGAGGATTACAAATTGATTTCCTTTGAGTGCTTTCCTGGAAGTGAACCAGGGGACAAAAGAAAAAGAAACAAATCATTGAAAATTTAAAAAATTGCAGGTTTTCAAAGAATTTCCAATGTTTTAAAGCAAAAGCGCATAAAAACACAACATTTTCACAATCCGAGAATGCAAGCATGCTGTGTTTTCATATGGTTTCGGCCTCAAAACATTGGAAATGCTGTTTTTTTTTTTTTTTTTTTTTTTTTTTTTTTTTTTTTTTTTTTTTTTTTTTTTTTTTTTTTTTTTTTTTTTTTTTTTTTTTTTTATTTATATATATATATATGTTTTTGCTTCAAAACATATGGAAATTCTTTGAAAACCTGCTATTTTGCTAATTTTCAAAGATTTTCGGATTTTTTTTTTTTTTTTTTTTTCTTTTGTCCCCTGGTTCACTTCCAGGAGAGCCCTCAAAGGAAATCAATTTGTAATTCTCCACAAAAGGAATCCCTTTGTATTCCTCCACCAAGGGGAATCCCCTTGTAATCCTCCACAAAAGAGATCCTTTTGTAATTCACCACAGAAAGATTCGCTTTTGTAACTCGCCACAAAAAGGAATCATCATGTGATCCTCCACAAAAGAAGTCATTTTGTAATTCTCCACAAAAGGAATCCTTTTGTAATCTGCCACAAAATAAAACAATGTTAGTTCACCACAAAAGGATTCCCTTTTGTAATTCAACAACAAAAGAAATCAAATTGTAATCCGCTAATGTTTATTTCGGGCCTCCGGAGGCCGGAGGATCGAGATATTGAGGCTTATTAATCTCTCTGGAACGCGCTTCGGCGCTCACCCACTGGAAGTAAGAGGGGTGAGGAGGAAGAGACGGAGGTGGAAGCGGAGGAGGAGGAGGAGAAGGGTGAAGAGAGGATCACTTATGGAATCTGCTATGGGTGCCTAGCCCCAGGGAGTTATTCCCTTAGTCTGGTGGGCTGTGCTTCCCACTCGATTGTGCTCTGTGAAGCTCATTATGACAACGCATTGCTCCCAACGCATGCTCGTCATCACCATCGTCATCAGCAACATCTTGAAACACATACTCATCATCATCATCGTCAGCAGCAGCATCTTGAAACACATGCTCGTCGTTACCATCGTCATGGGCAGCATCTGGAGACACGTACTCGTCATCATCATCATCATCATCATCGTCATCAGCAGCATCTTGAAACACATACTCGTCATCATCATCGTCATCAGCAGCATCTTGAAACACATGCTCGTCATCGCCATCGTCATCAGCAGCATCTTGAAACACATGCTGGTCAGCACCATCGTCATCAGAAGCATCTTGAAACACATAATCGTCAACACCATCGTCATCAGCAGGATCTTGAAACACATGCTCGTCATCACCATCGTCATCAGCAGCGCATTGAAACCCATGCTCGTCATCACCATCATCAGCAACATCTTGAAACACATGCTCGTCATCATCACCATCGTCAGCAGCATCTTGAAACACATGCTCGTCATCATCATCGTCGTCATCAGCAGCATCTTGAAACACGTACTCGTCATCATCACCATCGTCATCAGCAGCATCTTGAAACACATGCTCGTCATCATCATCGTCATCCGCAGCATCTTGAAACACATGCTCGTCATCACCATTGTCATCGGCAACATCTTGAAACACATGCTCGTCATCACCATCGTCATCAGCAGCATCTTGAACACACATGCTCGTCATCACCATCGTCATCAGCAGCATCTTGAAACAAGTGCTCGCCATCACCGTCGTCATCATCAGCATCTTGAAACACATGCTCGTCATCACCATCGTCATCAGCAGCATCTTGAAACACATGCTTGTCTTCACCATCGTCATCAGCAGCATCTTGAAACAAATGCTTGTCCTCACCATCGTCATCAGCAGCATCTTGAAACACATACTCGTCATCACCATCGTCATCAGCAACATCTTGAAACACGTACTTGTCATCACCATCGTCATCAGCAGCATCTTGAAACACATACTCGCCACCATCATCGTCATCAGCCGCATCTTGAAACACATACTCGTCATCACCATCGTCATCAGCAGCGTCTTGTAACACATACTCGTCCCCGCCATCGTCATCGCCACCACCTTCAAAGGAATGCGTGTTACCACTGTCGTTAACAGCAGCAACTTGAAACACGTGCTTATCGTCGCCATGACCTTCAGAATCCCTTGCGAAGCATAATCTCTATCAACATTGTCATCACCTGCCAGCAGATTCTATTTGTAGTTTATGACATAAGGATTTTTGTTGTTACCCGCTGCAAAACAACTGATACGGTAATTCGCTCATGTTCGTCTGGGCCTCCGGAGGCCGGAGAATCGAGGGATTAAGGCGTAATGTGTCCCTCTGGAACGCGCTTCGGCGCTCACCCACTGGAAGTAAGAGGGATGAGGAAGAAGAGACGGAGGTGGAGGCGGAGGAGGAGGAGGAGGAGGAAGAGGAGGAAGGAGAGGGGGACTCATGGAACCCGCTATGGGTGCTTAGACCCAAGGGGTTATTCCTTAGTCTGGTGGACTGTGTTTCCCGACGATGCCCTGTGAGGCCCATTGTGATAACGGATTGCCCCCAACGCGTACCAGAAGATTCGTAACTCTCATTTCTGGTACTCGCGACCTGCCCCTGACAGGGGATGATCTTGGGGATCCCAGGGTGATGTCGAAACCGCCATCTCCGAGGATAGGGCGGGGGCACGACAGGAAAGGGCAGCATCTTGAAACACGTACTCGTCATCACCACCATCATCAGCAACGCATTGAAACACGTACTTGTCATCACCATCTTCATCAGCCGCATTTTGAAACACATGCTCGTCATCATCATCGTCATCACCAGCAGCTTGACACACATACTCGTCATCATCGTCGCCATCAGCAGGATCTTGAAACACATACTCGTCATCACCATCGTCATCAGCAGCATATTGAAACACATACTCGTCAGCATCATCATGTGTGTTGTTCCATATGGAATATACCAAGTTAAGTTCTCAACTCGGGTACTCTCTTCCGTACCTGGTTTGAAGCTCAATCACCTTCCTGCTATCGGGTGCCGCCATCATCGCACGATCGTCGTCGCAGTCGCCATGTTGATGGATTCGACGCACGGATTGTTTGCCACCAGATCGCACATCTCTGGGGATGCTTGGGTCGCGACAGCGATGATGTGAGAACACACTTTGTGATAGTATGAAAAACACGCATGTACACGCGCACGCGATTTTGTCAACTGATGCCGATGATGATGATGATGATGATGATGATGATGATGATGATGATGATGATGATGATGATGATGATGATGATGCTAGTGACGGCGATGCAACGCAGCAAAACGAAGTTGTACGCACACACGGTTTTATCACCCCCCCCCCGTCTGCGCGCCGCCGCTCTGGTGGCTGTCGAGGTGCCAACGCCGAGTGCGGTGCGCAGCTCGCCGTCTGACACGAGACGCCGCCTGCGCCTCGGGAGCGGCCAAGAGGGGGGTGTCCAAGAGGGGCGGGTGCAAATCATGACCGTCGGCATGTGCGCGGCCCAGCGGGGGGGGCCAGGGACGTAATGAAATAAGAGGAGGCGCCATGAAATTTGGGGAAATATCATGGCCCACGCCATGATATCCACCCCCCCCTAGCCATCACCCCCCTCTTTTCCGCCCCCGAGCGCAGGCACTGGGCACGGTGGCCCCGGAAAGGCCCGGGCCCCAGGGCCTCGTCGGAAGCGGCGGAGGAGGCCTCGTTGGATGAGGGCCTCCTGGGTCGCGCGGTCCATGGACGGGCCATCGCGGGCAATCCACCTGGCCTCGACGGAGGGGGGATGGGAGGGGGGACTGGCTCAGGGAGGCAAACCATTGCCTTGGAATCGGCGATGCATCGATGACAGGCCCTTCGGAGGCGCAACTGGGCGCTCCTCGGCAGGAAGGGGGGCACGGGCCCCGAGTGGCGATGACTGGGCTGCTCGGGGCCGGTGCCACAAGCGTACGACGGCGTCGCGATTTATCTTCGTCCTGGCTTCGTCTTCAAGGGTCTATGGTAGAGCCAAGGCGTGTACGACGACGGTGACGTCCCGATATGTCCTCGTCCTCCTTTCGTCTCAGGCGATCTATGGTAGAGCCCCCTGGGTCAATCCCGCCATCCTGACGTTGCCCCTGGCTGGTGGAGCCAGGAGCGCGCCGCGGGAGCTCCAACGCTTACCATTAAGTGGAAGAGCCACCTCCTCGCGCATTCCCCTCAGGGGACGCGCAGGGTCTGGCATTGCAGGGGGATCTAGAATCAGGCGCCATTTCCCTCTCCCATAACCTGCTCAATATCAGCAGTGCCTGCCACCATCGGCCACCCCCCGCGCACGCGCTGATCCCGGTGCCATAGCTGACGAGGCCAGGCTCCAGCCCCAGTGCTGGCAGGCCGTGCAACAGCAGCAGCGCCCACTGCCACTGCCCACCCTTCACGCACGCGCTTATTCCAGCATTGCAGCCGACAAGGTTCGGTTCCTGCAGCGTGTCCCACGACTCGCGCAGCAAAGCCAGCGCCTGCTGCCACTGCTTCCCTTTCTCACACGCACTAATCCCAGCGGCATAGCTGTGCGAGTCCGGCTCCAACGCTACCTCGCATAAATCCCTCAACAGCGCTAATGCTCGCTGCCACTGCCCAACTTTCTCGCAAGCGCTGATCCCGGCGTTGACTATGATAAAGATAGACCCATGTTTGAAATACGCTGACGTCGAAAACACAAACAACAACAACCGCAATGGAAGTCGGCTGCCAATCTTAGCCAGACTTCTTAACAACGACATTAAGAGTGCTCTCGCTCACACGCTGTAGGGCATCACACTTCATGTTTACAAGCTCCCATCGATCTGACTATCTATCCCGTCGACGCCTTCTATTTCTGCACCCACGACAACGCAGCTCAGGTCCCACCGAGCCGCTTCAACCAGTCGCCGTCGCTGTCACTGGATCTGGTAAGGTTAGGTCGGGCCTGTCCCCCCACAGGAGGATTTCTGACGAACATCAAAAAATACCCTAACAGTACTCCCAAATGGTCAAAGCATACTCCAAACAATTCCCCAGACTGTATGCCCGACTTAATGGTAAGGGTCCCGCTCTATCGCTCTCGGTCGCGCTCTCCAGCCCGGGGTCAACACCCCCCCTCTCCGTCGCCTGATCTGACCCTCGCTCTCGCTGTCGCTTCCAGGTATCTGGATTATTTCGGTCACCTTGGAGGCCAGAATATTACCACCATCACCGAGATCGGGATCTTCTCCCCTCGGTGGAGGCACACCGCCGATATTGGTGTTGGTGTCAACCTTTAAGCCTGCGAGGTATGTCTTCGAGCTCCCTCCGCGAGGAGAAGGAGGGTGAGGACAAGACGGAGACACCACAAGCCCCGCCTTGGGGGTTCCCGCATCCAACCCACACCAGACTGGCCGCCAGATGGTCCGCTCTGGAAGCCAGGAGGCCAGACACGTTGGCATCTCTTGGGGGCGCACCTTTTGCTTCCCGCTGGCATCCGCCAGCCGTCCGCCGAGGAAGGGAAAGGGGTGAGCAACTTACCGATCCCTCGAGGGTCGGGGAGCGCATCCCACTACTCGCAAAGTAACTACTCGCAAATGGCCTGGATCCGCCGCGGGGGATTTACGATCCATTACACATAAGAAGACTGCTTTTTTTTCAGACGTTTGCGAGTAGGCACTTTGCGAGAAGTGGAACGCGCTCGGTGAGAGGGCGAGTCACTTTGCTGAAGCGCCCCATGCTAGGACCGCCAGATGGGGATCACCAATGGACTTGGGTGCTTGTCATGACCATGTGCTGCTTGGCGGCGAGAGGGCGTGGGTGGAACGTCGCCCTCTCCCAGGTCGGAAAAAACTTCGCGCATCGCGGCCCGCGGTGCGCGACTCTCTTCTTGAGTATGCCTGGGGGCCCAGGTCTAGAGTCTCTAGAGGGTCGGGGCGCAGGGCGCTCGGGAGGCGTGCCACTTTCTTCTTCAATCTGCAGCATCTGTTTGGAATTCCACCGGCCGCCGTGGGCGACGCGCAAACGCCTCCCAGGTTGCACCGACGACCAGAGAGTAAAGTTGCCAGGTTCCCGCGCGCAGCTCCATAGAAAGGCAGGTGACCTGGCCCAGGAACATACTCATCAAGGGGCACAAGGACGCACAAATAAATACACACAAATCAAATGATGCCCCATATTTTCTCATATTCTCTGGGTTTTTGTCTTCCCCCCCAATTCCCATATTTTCCCATACTCTCCTGGGAGTCGACGATCAATTGTGTCTGTGTTTTTTCCCTCCTGAACTGGCGCCCTCGCGCCTCGCGACGCCCGCCTGGAGCGGGGCGGCCACGTCGGCCCAGACCGCGGACGCGCGACGCGCCCCGATCTCCGCTTTTTTGCTGCGGGCGACCAGGCTCTCTGCGAGGCCCTCCGAGTCGACGTCGCCCCTTGCTTTATATTGGTTGGGCATGTCCTCCTCTGTTTTTTTTGTTTTCTTGTTTTTTATTTGTGTTTGTTGTTTCTTGTTTTTTCCTTCTTCCATTTTTTAATATGAAAAAGAACCGGCCAGAAAATAATCAACAACAGCCTGGCGAGAGACCCGACCATACGCAGTTGGGAATACCGCAGTTGGACCCCCTCGTAGGGCCATCGGGCGGGGGAGACGCATTCAGGCTGCGCCACTGGGACCGTCGGTGGAGCTCCCTATGGGGCCACGAAGCGCTGTACAAGGTGTGGGAGACGCATGCGATCTGCGCAACTGGGAGCTTCGGTGGAGCTCCCTCTGGGGCCACGAAGCGCTGTACTGGGCGGGGGGGGCGCATGCGACCTGCGCCACAAGGACCTCTGGTGGAGCTCCACCACGAAACGTGGTACTGGGTGTGGGAAGCGCATGCGAACCGCGCCACCGGAACCTTCGGTGGAGCTCCCTATGGGGCCACGAAGCGCTGACGCATACGTTCTGCGCCACTGTGACCTTTGGTGGAGCTCCCTCTGGGGCCATGAAACGCTGTACTGGGCGGGGGGAGACGCATGCAAACCGCGCCACTGGGAGCTTCGGTGGAGTTCCCTCTGGGGCCACAAAATGCTGCACTGGGTGGGCGGGGGGGACGCATGCGAACTGCGCGACCGGAACCTTCGGTAGAGCTCCCTCTGAAACCACGAAACGCTGTAGTGGGCGGGGGGGGCGCATGCGAACTGCGCCAAACGAACCTCTGGTAGAACTCCGCCACGAAACGTGGTACTGGGCGGGGGAGACGCATACGAACTGCGCCACTGGAACCTTCGGTGGAGCTCCCTTCGGGGGCCACGAGCACTGACGCATACGGTCTGCGCCAATGTGACCTTCGGTGGAGCTCCCTCTGGGGCCACGAAACGCTATACTGGGCGGGGGGGACGCATGCGAACTGCGCCAATGGGAGCTTTGGTGGCTCCTTCTGGGGCTACGAAATGCTGTGCTGGGTGGGGGGGACGCATGCGATCTGCGCCACTGGAACCTCCGGTGGAGCTCCCTGTGGGGCCACGAAACGTGCTACTGGGCGGGGGACACGCATGCGACCTGCGCCACAAGGACCTCTGGTGGAGCTCTGCCATGAAATGTGGTACTGGGTGTGGGAGACGCATGCGGACCGCGCCAATGTGACCTTCGGTGGAGCTCCCTCTGGGGTCACGAAACTCTGTACTCGGCGGGGGACGCATGCGAACTGCGCAACTGGGAGCTTCGGTGGAGCTCCCGGGCCACGAAATGCTATACGGGGTGGGGGGGGTCGATTACGAGCTGCGCCGCTGGGACCTTCGTTGTAGTCCCCTCTGGAATCACGAAACATTGCAGTGGGCGGGGGAGACGCATGCGAACTGCGTCACAAGGACCTTCGATGGAGCTCCCTATGAGGCCACGAAGCGCTGTACTGGGCGGGGAAGACGCATGCGAACTGCGGAGAACGGGGGATTGTGGAGCCCCTCGGGGTTCCAGGGCGCGCGCGCCAGGCTTTCACACTCAGTTCGCGCGTGCGTCCTTCAGTGGTGTGCGTACTCTGTGGCGTCCTCCTCTCCTTCCGCCTCCCCCTCCTCCTCCTCCTCCTCTTCCTCGTCCTCCTTTTTTTTTCTCTCGTCCCCCTCCCCCCCAAAACAAAATCAGGCTGGACAGTTTTAACCTGACTTTTGTTTTTTGGGGGGTCGGCGGCGAAAACAAAGGAATGCGACATGGCCTGATCTGCCCTCTTCCATGGAAGGATTCCTATAGAACGCCCCCACAAGAAGGATTCCTATCGACACCCTCCACTGAATGATTCCTACTGAAATCCTCCACATCTGGATTCCTACGGAAATCACCCGCAGAAGGATTGATATTGAGATGCTTCGAAAGAAAGAACTCCCCGTTGGCATCGCATTGGCATTGGTTTGGCATCGCATTGGTGTTGCGTTGGCATTGCGCTTGGCAATGCGTTGCTCGTGTGCTTGCGTTTCGCAACCATTGTGCCGGCGAGTCCTAATGGAACCCTCCACAGAAGGACTCCGATCGAAACCTTCGACAAGAAGGACTCCCATTGAAACCCTCCACAAAAACGGTTCATATTGACACCCTGCACAGAAGGATTCCATGCGAAACCCTCCACATAAGGATTCCTATTAAAATCTACCAGAAAGGATTTCCCCCCTTGGCGGTGCATTGGCATTGGATTGAGATCGTTTTGGCATTGCTGTGGCACTGCGTTGGCATTGCGCTGGCGAGTTCCAACACCTCCCTTCGCAGAATGATCCCTGTTGAAGCCCCTCAAAAAGGATTCCGATTGAAGCATCCCACAAGAAAGTTTCACATTGAACTCCCTCACGGCCCTCCCCCTAGAAGGATCCCTATTGAACGCCCCCACAAGAAGGGTTCATAATGAAATCCTCTACAGACGGATTCCGATCGAAACCCTCCAAAGAATGATCCCTACTGAAATCATCCACGTATGATGGCCAATTGAAATCACCCGCAGAAGGATTGATATTGAGATGCTTCGAAAGAAAGAACCCCCCGTTGGCATTGCAGTGGCACTGGTTTGGCAATGCTTTGGCATCGCATTGGCATTGCGTTGGCACTGCGCCTGGCAATGCGTTGCTAGTGTGCTTGCGTTTCGCAACCATTGCGCTGGCGGGTCCCAATGGAACCCTCCACAAAAAGGACTCCGATCGAAACCTTCTACAAGAAGGATTCCTATTGAAACCCTCCACAAAAACGGTTCATATTGACACCCTGCACAGAAGGATTCCAGGCGAAGCCCTCCACAGAAGGATTCCTAATCAAATCTGCAACAAAGGAATTCCCCCCTTGGCAGTGCATTGGCATGGGGTTGGGATCGCTTTGGCATTGGTGTGGCATTTCGTTGGCACTGCGTTGGCATTGCGCTGGCGAGTTCCAACACCTCCCTTCGCATAGTGATCCCTGTTGAACCCCCACAAGATGGATTCCGATTGAAGCACCCCACAAGAAAGGTTCACATTGAACTCCGTCAGGGAAGGGCTCCATTCGAAGCCCTCTATAGAAGGATTCTTCTTGAACCCGACCACAAACGATTCCCCCCATTGGCATTGCATTCTTATTGACTTGGGATCGCTTTGGCATTGGTTTGGCATTGCGTTGGTATTGCGTTGGCACTGCGCTGGAGAGTTCTAATGCCCCCCAACAGAAGGATTCATATGAACACC